GCACAAGACGCGTGAATTTTTCAATTCCACTAAAACATTTTATGGGCCAATCACTCATGGCGCAGCCCCCTCTCAGCTCATCCAAAGGTAGTTCCCTAATTAAAGACGAAGAAGGCATCCTTCACCACTGGAAAGTGCACTATCATTCACTGATCAACCGAAACACCGATGTGGATGTCTCGACTACCCAGCAGGTCCCTCAGCATCCAGAGCTGACCCACCTCAGCTATCCTCCATCCCTGGATGAGGTAGCTACTGCCATCAAACAGATGAAAAATAACAAAGCCTCAGGGCTTGATAGAATCCCAGCCGAGTGTAACGGCGGCTGTTTCCTCTCTACTCTGCCTCGTCTTTTACTCTTACTTCTCTTGTCTTAGTTCTTTAATTCAATGGTTCTTTCTACTTACTTCAATGGTTACTGTATAATCTTAGTTCCTTTTTGGTAGCATGGACGAGGGTCTAGGGACATGGGTATTGTAATTCTGATATCAAGTCACTTGGATGGAAATAAAGGTAACTACTGTGGGAGAAATGAATACTCCTAAAATACTCTAAGAACAGGTTTATTAATATGAAATCAAATGCAAGCTCAGTATTTCTTATTTACTTATTTTTTTAATATTACTCCTCTGCAAGTTACTCATATATTACACTCTTATTATTCACACCCTTACTGGTATTACGTTACATTACATAGCAGGACCAGTTCCTTGGCCCTACTCACAATACATAGTTACATGACAACTCCTTGGCTCCTCTCAACTGCCAATCCCAGTGGGTACTTACTTCACCCACATTACTGGTGATACATTTCATTACAGTTACCAGGCTTTATTCATAGTCCCAAGTGGACAACTTTACTTCTCACACATTACGAGGTACTTTCCATTACATCCAGTTATAAGGCAACCTTACTTAAGATACTTCACAGAGTGTTGGTAGTGCATAGGAGATGCACTCACACACAACACGTTAATATTGATACCAACAAATACATGGGTCCACTACCCAACATGGGATAATTAATAACAAACACATACAACCACACTGAGGACCACAACTCCAAGGCATGTCCCAGGGTATACACTGGCGCCTCCAACAACTGATGACTGCTGTTGTGGTCGGTTACACTCCGACATGAGGCGGGTCTGGGGCCCTCGGCCCACGAGGTGGACCTGCCGTTTCAATCAAGTCGAATCAACGAAATCGTCGATATATTGCTCCCTGCTGGGAATCTACTCTCTCCAGGGCTATCGGTGAATGTCAAATAAGCCCAGCCTGGATTTGGAGACAAACGGGAGAGTATCACGGGAGTGGGAAGCATGATGACAACACAATCACAAGAAATCCTTCGTCTCGCAACGTCAGACGACATTTACTTTATATTACTTCTCACACTGGGTGAATGACAATTCCAATGTTACAACATGAACACTGATGAACACTGAAAATTCACTACAATGACTGAATCAAACTCAATGATGAGGGAACACATCTACAGTACATACCTGGGGACAAATGCGAGAGAGTCATGGGAGGACGTCTCTCCTTCCCGCCTTGGTATATATACCCCTGAGTTGCCAGTGATCGCTACTCACGCAATGACAGAAATTACAAACAACCCAATTGTTACATATTCAAGGATGACCCTCAGTTAACAAAGGTCAGGCGAATTACTAAAGTTGATTTACATAAACTAATTCAAGATTGAGCTTGCTAGGAGAAGTGGAATAAAATCATTGACAACTGTGTTCGAAGGCGGGACTTACTGGGAGGGATCATGACTGTAAACATCGAATGGGAAAAACACCTTCTTCTAGGGGATAGCTAACCCACTCATGCTTTGCGTTCGTGGAGTATAATAAGAATCATTAGCATAAAAACAGACTAGCAGTCAACGTGACCATGACACGAAGTGTATAAAGCAGGAGGACCTCTGCTTACCCGCCGTCTCCACTCTCTATTGGAGAATATTTGGGAAAAGGAAGAGATCCCCCCAAGCTCTTAAAGACACCTCCATCGTCAATATTTATAAGAACAAAGGAGACCAGTCGGATTGTGGCAACCACCGCGGGATCTCGCTGCTGTCCGTAGCTGGCAAGATTATTGCCCGAGTCCTCCTAAACAGACTTCTTCCTGAGGCGGAAAACTTCTTCCCAGAATCTCAATGTGGCTTTAAACCATTGCGTGGCACCACTGACAAGAACTTTGCTGCCCGCCAGATACAGGAAAAGTGCAGAGAACAGCGTCGTGATCTGTACATGGCCTTCATCAACCTAACCAAGGCCTTCGACTCGGTCAACAGGGAATCCCTTTGGTGGACCCTCAGCCGTTTTGGCTGCCCACCAAAATTCATTGCCATTGTGAGGCAACTCAACGATGGCATGAACGGCAGTGTCCTGCACAATGGCACCCAGTCTGAGTTCTTCCCCATCCAAACCGGGGTAAAACAAGAATGTATACTAACATCAACTTTCTTTCCCATTTTCTTGGCTCCCTTCCTTAGTCATGCCAGTGCCAATTTAGTCGACGGGGTGGACATTGAGTACCGGTTGAAGGGTCTTTTCAACATAAGACGACTCCAGGCAGGAACAAAGGTGTCAGCAGCTTCAATTGCTGAACTTTAGTATGCAGATGACCTCACCCTTATCGCTCACACTAAACATGACCTACAGGCGATCCTGAACACATACACAGATGCGTATGCACACTTCAGCCTTGAGATTAATGTATGTAAGACTCAGATTCTCTTTCAGCCTGCCCCTGGTTCATACACACCTCCACCATCCATCCAGCTTAACGGTACTACACTCTAATGTTACTCATTTTCGGTATCTCGGATCCCACCTGTCTACCAGTATTCTCGCTGACACCAACTATACAAGCATCGAGGCTACAATTATCCATGAACAAATACGCTGGCCTGGCCATGTTACCCGCATGGACGATAGTTGACTGCCAAAGAAGCTACTTTACGGTCACCTAACGAATAATAAACGTAATGCTGGCAGGCATTTGAAAAGGTATAAGGATAGTCTTAAGTCAAACCTGAAAAAGGCCAAATTGACCCCCTCACCTGGGAGTCGATTACCTCACACCGTAACGCTTTGAGGAGCACCACACAAGAAGATGGCAATACTTTCGAGTTAGCCCGACTGCATACCGAGGCAGACAAGCGCCAATGCCGGAAAGACGCTGCAGCCGCCGGCCCTCGCGTAGCAGATGTAGCCCTCCACATGTGCAACATCTGTGAACGACCCTGCCGGTCCCGTATAGGCCTCTTTAGTCACCTCAGAACTCACCAACGTAGGCGACATTCTTAATAACTCATATCGTTGTATCATAGCTGGATGATCGTCATACTCGATTGGGAGTGACAGCAAAGCAGTAGTAGGTGTGGTGTTGATGGGGTGGTGATAGTGGTGGTAGCTAATAATACTACAACACCTAGCATTAATAGTAGTAGACTACGCTGGCCCACAGGCAGGTGTATTCTGCTCTAAGGTGTTACTTCAGTTTTAATAACAGTGTTATGCCTCTACTGGCCATGAGGAAGATGTGTCTAAAACGGCACAGTGGCTCACAACCTTCAAACACTTTAAGCATGTCCAAAAATATTAGTCGACGAAAAGTGTCTTGTATTCATGGGTTGGAATACTTTCCCTTGTGTTGACACAACGTTTGATCTACCAACGCTATTTCACTTACCGGAAGGTACAGTAGAGAGCTATGAGCCCAAGGTTGTTATCCACGGGTCATGGTTGTCGTGGCGTATTGGGTTTAAAACCTTAACATCACACAGGGTCCATCCATGAAGTTGAACGACAACAACCTCTTAACTGTGTTCGAAGAGATCCACTGGGTGTAAACTTTGCAGCCTCGGGTCAAATGAGGATCTAAATTTTTCATACCACCAAAAAAATATTAAACTTGTTTTTCTGTTCATCCTTTTAGTTTCAGGTATTTCACCTTGAGATTTTTAAATCAAATTGACACTTCTGATTTTTTTCCAATAAGAATTGCAACATATAAACTAAAGATATCACTTGACATTCTTCCTCCGTAACTCGAGGTTCCAATGTTGTTGGAAATCATAAACTTCACAATCTCTACAGCACATGCACGTCAGTATCTTCAAGTGATAAATACAATACATTTTGCGCAAATTTCTTGTGATTAGCATTTTTTTTAATGATCTCACACTCGGTGCCACAAAACACTGCTCATTAAACACCCTAACCCAACATAACCTTGGTTCTTCACCAAACGGAAATTTCCTATTAAACGAATTTATAATGTTATAATAGTATAATCTGCTTGGCGTACAGTTTGAATTGTACAAGGGTTATGACTCACAATTCCAGTAGTAGTAGTAGTAGTAGTAGTAGTAGTAATAATTATTATTATAAGTAGTAAAATTTTGAGGTGTCATAGGTGTCATCAGTAGGTCTGGATGTCATAGGTGTCATCAGTAGGCCTGGGTGTCATAGGTGTCATCAGTAGGTCTGGGTGTCATAGGTGTCATCAGTAGGTCTGGGTGTCATGTCATCAGGTGTCATCAGTAGGTGGGTGTCATAGGTGTCATCAGTAGGTCATAGGTGTCATCAGTAGGTCTGGGTGTCATAGGTGTCATCAGTAGGTCTGGGTGTCATAGGTGTCATCAGTAGGTCTGGGTGTCATAGGTGTCATCAGTAGGTCTGGGTGTCATAGGTGTCATCAGTAGGTCTGTGTCATAGGTGTCATCAGTAGGTCTGGGTGTCATAGGTGTCATCAGTAGGTCTGGGTGTCATAGGTGTCATCAGTAGGTCTGGGTGTCATAGGTGTCATCAGTAGGTCTGGGTGTCATAAGTTGTACCTCTGGTTAATTCAAACTGGAATTAGTCACTGTAAAAAGACACAACACATCAGTAAGGGTTATTTTACACTGGTTCATGTGTGTTGGTGCAGTTGGTAGTTGATGAAGGGGTAGGTGGTGGAAGTAAGACTCACAGCTGGTAGAAACTATGTATTGATCTTGTATTACAACCTCACAAGGTCAGCCTTGGGTAACTGGGTGACACAGAAGGCCGGGTGTATAATCCTATTCACACCACAGGTAAACCACCTCACTGGAAGATGTTTCTCGCCTTTCGCTCCACCCTCCGACCTACCCGTGCATGCTCCACCCTCCGACCTACCCGTGCATGCTCCACCCTCCGACCTACCCGTGCATGCTCCACCCTCCGACCTACCCGTGCATTTGTCATAATAACAAAAATTAACACGTTGATAATACTGTATATCTCAGCTGTGACCCCCCAGCTGACCCAACCTGCCCTGAGACGCCTGTGTTCGGACAGGGTCAAGATATAAGGCCCAGGTTAGTAGAATATCAACATTGCTTTATAAAATAAAAATCACATTAAGTTTAGCCCTAACTTATTTCACCTGACATTCAAGCACCCTAACGCTACCTGGCAGAGTCGGATTAGGGTTGGTTAGGTTAAGTTACGTTAAGTTAGGTTAGCTTGGGTTAGCATGAGGTCAGACTTAGAGTGGTTAATCGTAAGGCGAAATAAACTGAAAGCTAAACGTCAGGTGAAAAAGAATAAAACTTTTCTAGGACCTCGACAGGATCTAAACTACATTAGGGCGAGGCTTCATTGGGGGGAGGGGAGGTGTTTATGGTTCTTGTTGTGGTCGTAACGGACGGCGGCCGGCAGGAAGACCCAGACAGTGAAGCTGCCGCCAGTCATCCCGGCCAACACCCACATGCTAACGGCGTAACTGCCACTCGCGTCCCGGATCATACCTGGCGAAGATAACGCTATTGGTAAGTGGGTTAATGAGCTGCAGGTAAACATGTACTGAGAATTATATACATATTATTATATTATTATTAATACCAAGCTCATAAGCAGACACAACCCATAATAGGTAAGGCATGGTATCTCGGACCCACACTTTTCACGTTCTATAATGTTCATATGGTTCCCTTCAATTGGGTACCCTGTGTTCCCACTACCACTACCTTCACACTGAGACATGATAGAGGAAAAGTGAGTCACATATATGTTTCACAAAACCTAAGTAGTGTTTGTTTGTTTGTTTTTGTCATTTCTTTGTTACTAATAGAAGACTAGAATTTAATTTTTAATGTAAACCAAAGAAATCATCAACTCCTAGAAAATAACAAAGTAGGAAATGTATTCGACAAGAGCATGGCATGTTTTACACACAGGTGTAAAGCAACAAAGTATTAATACATTTCACCCCATTTAAGTAAGATTTATTAAGACATAATTTTTAAAAAGTATTTAAAGTTTTCAATAACTTTACTTCAAATAATAATTAACAGGAGATACTATCATACTTCTACTCCATCACCTTTCTGCAAACTTTTGTTACTCCGCCGCTATTTTTTCAAGTTACCCAACGATGCCATTAATTCACCCACGATGCGGCCTTGACTGACTGCTGACAAGTACAGTACTAAAGAGACTCGTAAATCCACCAGCACTTCCGAAGAAAGACGATTATTTGGGTAGATGAAGCTTTGACACATCAAACAGCTGTTTTCAAACACATTGCATCTTGGTCCATAACATATTTGAGGTGCTATCGATATTTGTACTTGTTTGTACTCGAGTACTTTTTAAGCTAAGTAGTGTTTCTTACTTAAACATAAGTAAATATAAGTAGCAGTACTTCTACTTCAACCTGAATAAATATACTTGAGAGTAACAATACCTTAACATAAGTAGCAAATTGTTTTACATTTTACACCTCTGGTTTTACGGCACGGTCAATGAAGCCACCATCAATGCCTGAATGATCTACAACAATAACAGGCAAAAACAACAGCAGCCAAAGATGGACCACCGTCTGTTTCTAAAGGAGTTGGCACCACAGATGGTCGCACCATAGGTAGAGGAGCACAACGCCTTTCCACCTCTTCTGAGGAGCGCGGCATTGGCGATAAGAAGTGTTTTCAACTTCAGTGCTCATCAACAGACTCCTGCTGCTGTCCAGGCAGGCCAAAGAGGAGACACACCTTGTGTGACAGGAGAGAGGTCAAGTGTCTGGACTGTTCCAAGACTTTGTCAAAGGAAACGTCAGGACTATAACTCATCTCTTAGTCATGTTTCCTTCACTATCATTTCTCCATAATGAACAATGCTTAAACCGTTAATTATATTTTAATTATATATCATTAATTATATATTACTAATTATAATTATTATTATTATCATTATATTAGTATTAGTATTATTACTATACCAATGCACGGGCCAATGGTGACGAAGCAAAGACCTCTCAGCAGTAGTGTCGCTCCCATAGTAGGAGCCATGTCATCTAGTCCCATGAAGTAAGCAACAGCCAGGTTAAAGATGCCGAAATTGCCGCCCACGCCACACCCAAACGCGCCCATGATCAGCGTCTGCCACCACGTGTCTGCCACCACACTATACGCTGATAATAAAGTTTAAAACAGTGTGATTAGTTCCCCAGCATAAAGTGAATGGATCCCACCTTTTGTTAGGGAGGGAACGGATTGAAGTAAACAGGGAAATTCGCAAAAAAAAGGGAGAGAAACATGGATGTTATTTTTCCACCATATTATCTTAGATTTTCATGCTTGAAAAAGTAATGGATAAGGACATTTATTTTATAATTATTTCAATAAGCCATCTGTTGCCTTATTTATCCTGTTTTCGGGTTGTTCAGGTTTTAAACAGCTGTAATTAGATATTTATATTAACATTGATATGAGGAGAAACACTGATTACGAGGTTAGAAGCTACATTTATCTTCAATATTTACCAACAATGGGTCATACAGAATCTCAATAGCCCATCCACTGCTCTCCTCTTCTGTCAATCGTCGTCTCCCCAGCCTAAAATTATATCATTTATATGAATTAAGTGTTCTAATATTTTTTGTTTACATTTCACATGGCGGCAGGTTACCCTAGTTACCAGACTCCTCCCAGCGGGTTAACCAACATCTCACAGTGACCCCCAACCTTCAATGCAATTTCTGACACATTGTCGCCGGCTGCGCGCAAACAGACAATTTGCCAGTGACTCGCCAATCGACGTTCTTAGCGTCCATCCTGGGCTGGGTATGGAGCATTGGCCAACACCATTGTCACTACCACCTCATTACTTCGTATTAATTTTCATAACTCTAATTCACATATTACAGGGTGGAAAATCCAACAATTCATGTATATTTTTGTTTCAATATTTTTGTTCAAGAACGGTAGTGGCATGGGGAAGAAACTATCAAGTATAACAGCCTAGTTTAGTGTTACTGGAGGTGAGCAAGCCAAGACCCCCTCCTCTCTTATGTTGTCATATCAGGGGCTTTCCCTCACAGAAGCCAGACGCCTTATCAACCCTAACGACACATTACCTTCCAAAAGCTCACTCACATTCCTCCCCAGAATCTAAAGTAAAGGCGTAGATAACTAAGGGAAAAGTTGAGTTCATATGATACCTCCCCTTCACCTCCCTGGACATCCGCCCTCCTAGTTGTTTGGGCTTCAGGCCTATCAACTGCCAGGGTTATTAAGGCCGTCAACATCAAGCTACATTCACCAACCTTAACACCTTCTCAGCCCCTTGAATTGCGCCGTGCTACCTTACCACCCCCCCCCACCCCCTAGTTCTCCCCCAACAATACGTCCAACACCCTCTTGTGATCTCTCGTGTAGAAAGGCTTTCAGCTTCCGGGTATGGTAGTAGGAGAGCTGGATGATTGCTTTTGACTGCAACTGTACATAAAATATCTTTGTGACATCAAAGACTAAACTAAAATAGGTCAATCTATCTTATATATTTGTTTATACATTATTATTCATGAGTATTGTGGATGCTTGTACATGATGAATAAGACTGTGCTCAGCAAGGCAAGGCAAGACAATGAAATAATGTTTAAGCTAACTTTCATTAACACAGTAAGACTTGCTGGCCATGTTATTATGAACGGGATAAAAGTAATCCTATTTATCGACATTGTACAATGTATATCAAGACAGACTGTTATGGCTCACTAACCGAGGATGGCTAAGGTAGTGATGGCGGCGCTGGTCATGAAACAGACCTGCATGCTGAACCTCGAGAAGTCTGACAGTAAACACACCACAAGACGAGCCACCAAGTTACACACGGCCGACACCGTGAAATGCCAGTTGGTTACCTGGCCAGGGTGACCCGCTGCTTCTACTTCAAAGGGAACCAAGGTTAGGAATTTGATTGTTGCGTTGTTGAAAAGCATCCCTCCCAAAGCGATGATGATAGCTCGCAGGGACTTTAGGATGGATAAGTTTGCCACAACATCATGACAAATACTTACGAATGCTTCTGTTAAGACCTTACATGTACTTTTATAAACTGTATTTTCAGTATTTTTTGCTGATTGTTCCCAATCTTTTGTTTTCGTGGAATCTTGTCTGAGTCTCGTGTGAACCTGAATGGGACGGAAGAGTGAGGCCCCGACGCAGCAGTGAAGGACAACAGCACCCACGATGAACGTACCACCGATGAAACCAAACTCATCATGCACGGAGCTTATAAGAATGGGTCCAACCATCTGCCCTATGCAGGTGCCGGCCTTCATGAAAGCATTGGCAACTCCCCTCTTCTGCTTGAAGTAGTGAGGGATGATGAGGAGGCACAGGTTGTTGACAATTCCACAGCTCACCCCTGAGATAAAATAAAGAATCAGTCCACCTACTACATACATCAGTAAGGATGAGTTATCTTTGTTATGTTGGGGTTATGGGGATACTTGTAGTATGTGTCCATGATGTTTGAAGCAATATTTTCATTTTTATTTTTTACAGGTTTGTTTATATATGAATGAGAGTTGAAATTCACTTTGGTTTTTGTCAATTCAATCCTCGGTCAACTCTACCCCTGGTCAACTCATCACCCATACGCTATTCAATCCCAGGTCAACTCAATCCCTAGTCAACTCAATCCTTAGTCAACTCAATCCCTAGTCAACTCAATCCCTAATCAACTCAATCCTTAGTCAACTCAATCCCTGGTCAACTCATCACCCATACGCTATTCAATTCCTAGTCAACTCAATCCCTAGTCAACTCAATCCCTAGTCAACTCAATCCCTGGTCAACTCAATCCTTAGTCAACTCTACCCCTGGTCAACTCATCACCCATTCGCTATTCAATTCCTAGTCAACTCAATCCCTAATCAACTCAATCCTTAGTCAACTCAATCCCTAGTCAACTCAATCCCTAGTCAACTCAATCCCTAATCAACTCAATCCTTAGTCAACTCAATCCCTAGTCAACCCAATCCCTAGTCAACTCAATCCCTAATCAACTCAATCCTTAGTCAACTCAATCCCTAGTCAACCCAATCCCTAGTCAACTCAATCCCTAATCAACTCAATCCTTAGTCAACTCAATCCCTAGTCAACCCAATCCCTAGTCAACTCAATCCCTAGTCAACTCAATCCCTAGTCAACTCAATCCCTAGTCAACCCAATCCCTAGTCAACTCAATCCCTAGTAGTCAACTCAATCCTTAGTCAACTCAATCCCTAGTCAACCCAATCCCTAGTCAACTCAATCCCTAATCAACTCAATCCTTAGTCAACTCAATCCCTAGTCAACCCAATCCCTAGTCAACTCAATCCCTAGTCAACCCAATCCCTAGTCAACTCAATCCCTAATCAACTCAATCCCTAGTCAACCCAATCCCTCGTCAACTCAACCTCGGTCAACTTAACTCCGGTCAACTTTGTAGTAAGCGCTAGGAAGCTGGAAAGTTTCAAAAGGAGGCTGGATAGATTCATGGACGATAGAGAGTGGTTGTAACTCTCGACAGGAGCTGCCATGCACAGGACAACCGGCGTATTGCAGACTCCTTATGGTCTTAAGTGCAGGCTGCAGGGAGAATACTAATATACTGTATCATGACTTACTTGTATTTAAACAGAAAAGCATACTAGTTAAATTTTTGAGAGATTGAGTTGACAGGGGTTGAGTAGACAGGGATTTATTTGACTGGGGGTTGATCTGACTGGCTGTTGATTTGACCGAGGTTTGAATTAACTGGGGGTTGAGTTGACCGGGGGTTCAGTAAACAGGGATTGAGTAGACCGACTATTCAATTTATATTGTAACATTGAAATTGTGTACACACACACACACAGGAATAACTATAAACAGACAGACAGACAGATGGGTGGACGGAAAATAAGAAAAACAGATGTTCAGTAAAAATTGTATAATAAACAATGTACAATGATAGTGCACGTATAGAAACATGTACGTACATAAACAGTAAAGCGATTTAACCAAGCATACCCAACAAGGACAGTTGCAAGTAGGAAGTTTGACAAAAATCAGCAGAAGAGGAAGGTCTATGTTTGTCTTTGGTACCCCCAAATGTTCTACACTACTGAGGGTATACACAAACACTTGTTATCTTAAAAATAGGTTCTTATTCTCGTACGGGAGATGTACAGGGGAACTAATCAGACAGAGCACTTCCACACCATAAAGACTGGTGGTCTCCACTCTATGTATCACTGTGCGCTGGCATGTACAGATGCCAGCATTCACAAGCTGAATACATAAAATGTAAATATGATAATTCATATACATAACATGGTGCATAATAAATGGAAATATTACATAGAATTAATACATGTTCTGTAATACTTTACTATACATAATTAATAGAGTAATATATGAATACACAGCTTAAGGCACTACTTCGTGTCCATATTATACAGAAGGTGAACACGATAACATAAGAAGAACATAAGAAAATAAGGAGTCTGTAATAGGCCGGTTGGCCTGTGCATGGCAGCTCCTGTCGAGAGTTACTACCACTCTCTATCATTCATGAATCTATCTAGCTTCCTTTTGAAACTTTCCAGAGTTCCCGCACTTACTACAAAGTTGCTATCTCTAATTAAATCTTCTATTCGGGCAATAATAGGTAATGGATGTGTAGATCTTAGCTATGCGAGTCTTACCTGCCAGGGTGGAGAAGGAGAAGAGGAGGAACAAGGCGGAGGTAGCGAAGGAGGAAATGATGCAGGCGAAGAAAATCAAGAGGGAACACACCAGAGCCACCTTCCTCCACCTGAACCTCTTCACCAGTGGGCCAGTCATCATTCCAGATATACACGATATAGCCGCCATAATATCGAGGAGCCAGCTGTTGGTGGAGGAGGAGGTCCCCAACTCCAGGAATAAAGGGAAGAAGATGAGGCTGAAGCAATACAACAACATGTCCGTCAACATCTGAAGTGAGGAGGGAAGGGAAGAAGAGTTTGAACAGTGGAAATAATCCAAACAGGAGAAATTACATATTCAAGCAGTAACTGAAGTCATATTTCGTTGCGATATTACAATATTTTCTTCACTATAGAATTTTTAGTTGAAGATAAAATTCGCAACCATCACCTTCCACCTGGACCAACCTTCAGTACAGCTCCCCTCTGCTGTACTACCCTTCACGTCACCCATCATCACCCAAGTCATTCCTCTACTTACCATAATAAGAGAAGCTCCCACCGCCACCATCCAGGCAGAGTCAGATTCAGGTGTCTCATCTTGACCAAATCTCTCTGTGTCAGGTCTCTCAAGATCTCCAGGACTCTCTGCCTCCACGGCGATTGTTATCACTTGTCGAGCAGATTCTGTTTTGTTTTCTAATTTCGTTTCCAGTGCAGAAACTGATGATGTACACTGGTTTTGCTCACCACCAGAGGCGCTGTCATCGTGGACGAATCCTTCATTCACAACCTCTGTGAACCTTCTTCTCGAATTGTTGTCCATGTGGCTCATATTCCTTAAGGGTTCTTCTATAACCATTGTGTTACTTTATAGTACTGGTGTGAATTATGTCTTATAGTCTCTTAGCTTAGCTGGTTATGAAGTATCGACCTGCAAAAGAAGATGTGATTCTTTAGCCATGTGTACTATACGTCTTTATACCAGCCATCCTGAGTTTCCATGCACCACTAGAAGCATCAGTAGACACTACATTACTGACGACTTTCTCCTTTTACCTTTATCAAGTATTGAATTTTAGACCTTGATACCGACCTGAGCATGTGGGGTATTAATTGTGAAGGATGGTTTGGGTCTTTTTTGGTTCTGGGTGTCACACTAAAGAGTTTCGTTACACCAGTACAGCATATATCGTTAAGGAACACTACAGCGACCGACGACAATATCGTAAATATTTTCTCAGAGACAATACGTGGACTCGACTCGGCCTTCTTACAAAATAATAAGAGTATTAATATACCTCGCTGCCTTTGGTGTAACTTTACGTGGACACACATATCATTATGATTGTAAGTAATGTAATCTGAGAAAATAAAAAATTTTGTTGGTAACAATTCCACCTGTAAAATAGTTATAGTTAATTTTTAGGCTGGGAGAGCTGCCAGTCCATACATACAATGTCACTACCAGCCGGAACTAACACCTTGGTCAGTGTTTCACCTCCCCACTCAACTAGGGGAACGACTCCCACCTCCCCACTCAACTAGAGGTACGACTCCCACCTCCCCACTCAACTAGAGGTACGACTCCCACCTCCCCACTCAACTGCACTGTCCATGTACAATATTGGTATATCTGCACTGTATGCTCTCTCTCTCTCTCTCTCTCTCTACTCTCTTTCTATACTCTTTCTCTATTCACTCTCCCTCTCTATTCTCTATCCCTCTCTTTACTCTCTATCTCTATACTCTCTCTCTCTTTCTCTACTCTATCTACAATCTCTACTCTTAACTCTCTCTCTCTCTCAACTCTCCCTCAACTCTCTTTCATCTCTCCTTCAACTCTCTCGACTCTCCCTCAATTCTTTCCCTCTCTATTCCTCCTTTCCTTTCTCCCTGTGGCTCTCTCCTCCTCTGTGTCCATCTCTGCCTCCTTTCCTCTCCTTATCCACACTCAACACACACAACACACTCAACACACAACACACTCAACACACACAACACACTCAACACACACAACACACTCAACACACACAACACACTCACAACACACTCAACACACACAACACACTCAACACACACAACACACTCAACACACACAACACACTCAACACACACAACACACTCAACACACTCAACACACTCAACACACACATACATATGCTGCCTTGTGTCAATATCCTTCACATGGCAAACTCGCCTAACCTGGCTCATGTGTTTACACCTTACACAAATTTACAGTTCAAAAGATAAACAAGAATTTTGGACATCACTTAATCGTCACTCCTCTGCAGTGACGATTACAACACCCTTGGCAGTTTGTTTATTGAGGATTACTGTATCTATATATTTAGGCATATCTTTCATAATTTCATACACAGGTACTGTTCATGGAAGACCGAGTTCAGAAAATATTTAAAAAAGCAAACATATAATCACAAACCATTCACAATAGCGACGTTTCGTTCACCACTTAAAAGGTTGCTCAGCACCAAAGCCAATTTTGATAAGTTGACTATAAACTTACTCTAATAATTAGCTAAGCAAAAAATTATTAATTCTCAAGTTAATTTTTCTTAAGAAATGACTGGCGTGCGACTGGAGCTTTATACCGAGGTTTACCGTTGTCACTGTTGGGATTGATGGATAACGGTAAAGGAATTCTGTTAGGACACGATAAGTGAACTTCTATAACAAAGACCGTTAATTCAGAGTTCTTATAAGGTATACAGAAAATGACTAACTTGGGTGTGGGTCACTTCAGGTTAATTGTGGTTAAGTAACGCGTTATCTTAATGACATTAATTTAATTAATTTAGATAACAAAATATGAATAATTCTTAATCTAACCTTAACCTAATATGAACTAACCCTACGATAATCATGAACCTTGCCTCAGGTCACAATACACAACATACTCAAGTTCAACCTCAGAAATGTTCAGTCTAGAGTGTACGTCCGCAAGTGTTTCTGTACACACCTGCAGTGAGAGACAAGGATTACCGAGAAGGGCAGGGTAGGGCAGGTTGGAGGTGGGTGGAGGCGGGCTTGACAGTGCGGAGGACAAGCAACAACTGATACCTGTACTGGTTTTGTCTGGCTTTGCTGCGCGACAATCCACAACCCTAAACTTGATTGGTTACAACTCCTCACTCTCCTTGCCGAACCATCTGCGTCAGTGGCCTGATGGAGCCTCCAGGGCACCTCACGTGACGCTCGGCTACCCCACATTTATGGTCCCATATACTAACCTCGGAATTTACGATACTAGACAACGTTATATCATAATCCAGTACTACAGCGTTGTGTCTCTTCTACTTTATAAGAGTAATCAACTTCTGAATTCACAGACACAAGTACACTTACTTAGTTATATATCTATTTCAACAAAATTAACTTCTTCAGTAATAGTTAGACGGTTTGGCAGGTTATAATAACTTCACAGATATATTAATGGTCTACCATGAGCAGGGTAACTCAAGTACACGGTCTTTCACTCAATAATAAGCTGTCACGAGTATCTAAGAGAAAATTAATTCACATAAACACTTCAGTAAGACTTTGTACACCGTATGTTTACGCAGAACAACATAGAAAGTCACAAAATAATTGTCTACAGTTTCAACAAAGTAACAATCAGGTCAAGTAATTCTCTATTAGTTAGGTTAAGGAAATTCTTAGCAACTTTTCATACAATATTACTGCCAATGAGATGTCATTATATATGTTTTAACTATCATCTTTTCTATGTATAGTCTCGTCAATAATAACATGTGTTTTATTTGACACAATAGGCTGTAGTAGACTTCCTTACACAACAGTCACTCACACTGTAATGTTACAAAGACCATCTTACAGTCACAAGTCCTTCAGCCGCGTTCTCAGTCGTCACGCCCGAACGCGCGCGCGCACACACAGAGTAGTAAGTGATGATCCTTAAGTATTATTAATACAGTATTACCAGCAGCCGCAAGATATATTTATATAACTTTTTAAGACCAGTGGATACCTTCACAACTACCAAACAGGGAGGTACTACCGCCTGGGAAGATATTGGAAGCATAATGTTTTGTCTAATGGTAGACCCTGCTGCCATATGGCATCATGAAAATTGTGACCTAGTCCCAGGTTGTTGATCTGACTTTCTGCCTCATTTACACACAATTGCAGGGTCTCAATTGTTTCTCTTACTATTGACAACACAACATACATATATTTTTTCTCACTTTTGATCTGTTTTCATTTTTGTATTTATTATTATTATTATTATTATTATTATTATTATTATTATTATTATTATTATTATTATTATTATTATTATTGTTATTATTATTATTATTATTATTATTATTATTATTATTATTATTATTATTATTATTATTACAGTTATTATTATTATTATCATTGTTATTTTATTATTTTTTTATATAGTTTATTTGCTATGAATTATTATTATTATTATTATTATTATTATTATTACTTATTATTACTTATTATTATTATTATTATTATTATTATTATTACTTTTTCGCCCCCCAGGCCCCGATGTGGGTCAGTTACCTGTGCACGGGTTGGATAATCCCCGTAAAAAAAACAGTGTAAGAATGGATGGTGTGTGGCAAGACTGGCTGCCTGCCTGCTTCACGACACACTCGAGAAACTGTTCAAGATTATGATATAATAATTAGTACTGCTTTATTACCACAAATAACTAAACAATTAAGACTTTTTATCGTTTCTATTGATCAATAGGACAGGAGTATAGCTTGATAGTGAGTATGAGAGCTCCAAGTGTTTGTTTGCAGGTGTAGGAGAATACGATGATCATGAACAACACTTGTGCAACATATTTTGTAGCTAACCCAAACGCTGCCTTTCGTGTTACTAATTCACTCCTTATTTTGTTAATATGTATTTATGCATGATCCAGTTCCTAAAGTACAAATACTGGAGTGCGAACAGTTCTATTTCTTCCAGTCCCATCCACACTGCTAAGAGTAATAGGGACTGGTTTACCGCTCATCCAAATATCACGGTCCTGCAGTGGCCGTCCAAGTCACTGGACCTAAACCCTATATAAAACTTGAGGGGTCCCATGAATCAAGCCTGGGGTGGGTGTGGCGGTCAAAGAAACTATAACGTACTTATTTAACAAGGTGAACGAGTTGTGGGAGATCTTCCGAAACCAGGAAACATTGCACAACACTTTGTTGAATATATGCCGACGAGGCTCCAGCACGTAATAGATGCTAAAGGAGGATATACAAAATACTGATGTATTCACAGTAAAATTATCATATAACAATCATTGTTTGTTATGATAGTATAATAAAAAAATATTTTTGTTTCAAGTTTAACTTACAGTATTAGTTTCAATTATTAATAAATTATTACTCTCAAAACGAGTGCTTTGGAAAGTTTAATATAGTGACTAGGGGTATATGTGTTGGGACCAGGGATTTGGTATTTGTGAATATAAACGGAATAATGTACTGCATTGGTCGTTGCTAAATGTGTGATGAATACAAAGCACATAAACAGATGAAAACCTAATATAAGCACTTGAGAAAATGAATTTACTATACGTAGCCATATTGCGAAGCCCAAATATGGTACAACTGCCAGCTCAACTGCAAGGTTCACCCGCCCTACCAATGTCTCAATGTTTCCGTGATGTAAACAGTCAAATGTGAGGAAGATACTCGACTATGCATATAATGAGCAGGTATACAATATAATTTCACAGTGCAAAATAAACAAACAATGTAGATAGACAATGAACTTTAACAAACAATGGTAAAAAGTAATTCATTTTTACTAAGAACACCATAAGGTCTTTATAGAGTTATTTCCATTCGGTCTTATGGGGTTTATTGTCAGTCGAACCTGGGGTGGTGGTAGTCGTACCCCTAGTTGAGTGGGGAGGTGGGAGTCGTACCCGTAGTTGAGTGTGGAGGTGGGAGTCGTACCCCTATTTGAGTGGGAATAAACGTAATATCAGAGATGGTATAAGAACATTGCTACACACGAGGAGCCATAAAAACGTCTGTTCTCTTAGACTAACAAATTGTAGTCTAAATGCTAGGCTGGTATCGTCGCTCGCTATACAGAAGTTAACTTTTTCTTTAATATAGTAATATATTCAAGACGTTTTTCTATAGTTAAAAGTAATTAGTATTGACCTCAGAATATCTCCTAATATTAAGTGCATATGGTTTCAAAATGGCTTCTAAACGCCCATGATATTGAATAGATTAAAAAATAAATAATACAAAATTTGGGGGCTTACAGCTGGGTGGGCTCACTGTGCTCACCATATTCCTCACTAACAACTTTTTGGGTCCTTTTTGATATTCCTGGATCCGCTCCTGTAAAATTATAAGATTGTTCCGTGCTTCATACTGTAGTCATTTTGCTTCCCTCAGGTGACCGTGGAATCTGTTACCAAACGTATTTTTGTTTGTAAATGTTCTCTATGAAAGGTACAAGGTTTCTAGATACCGTAATATATTATAATCATCTGTATATTATAGTAAACTAATTTAATGCGACCAAGCACGCAAGAGAAGAATACAATAAAATAGGATATTAATTTTGTTTATAGAGAGTAGTGAACCTTTATGCTTTGTAACCACAACTTTGATAATCCTCTCTGTCCCGCGCCAGCCAGGCCAGTGTGACGGATCCAGTGACAATAGCAGGAGGTGTTGCGTCAGCGCTTGTGAGTTATTGTATGTTTCCTCTCATAGTACTGTATGTTTGCCTAGACTAACACTTTACGCTGCTACAAATTCTAAATACAAGTACAGAGGTACACCTTTTCACATATCCGTTGAGACATTGTTACATAACTATTTGACAAATATCATAACCGAATGACAGAACACATATCAAATGACAATCTAAAATAACTGTTCGTTCATGCTAACGGAAGTGATTGGCATAAGTTATGAAGTTGACAGACGTGAACAATATACCGACAGTCTACATATAGTTTGAGAATGTAACAATTGGAGAATGACATAACACCAACAGTTATTGACTCAGGTAGAACACAACGAATTAACCAGAACTGAGGCAGACATTCTCCACACAGGACACCATAACTCCCCCCACAGGTCACCATAAATACCCCCACAGGACACCATAACTACCCCCACAGGTCACCATAAATACCCCCACAGGATACCATAACTACCCCAACAGGACACCATAACTATCCCCACAGGACACCATAACTACCCCCACAGGTCACCATAAATACCCCCACAGGACACCATAACTACCCCAACAGGACACCATAACTCCCCCACAGGACACCATAACTACCCCACAGGATACCATGACTAACCCCACAGGTCACCATAAATACCCCAACAGGACACCATAACTACCCCAACAGGACACCATAACTATCCCCACAAGGTCACCGCAATACCCCACAGGTCACCATAACTACCCCACATAGAACACCATAACTACCCCCACAGGTCACCATAACTACCCCATAAGAACACCATAACTCCCCACAGGACACCATAACTACCCACCACAGGTCACCATAACTACCACCACAGGTCACCATACCTACCCACATAGAACCCAATAACTACCCCAACAGGACACCATAACTACCCCACAGGACACCATACCTACCCCATACGATACCATAACTACCCTACATAGAACAAAATAACTACCCCACAGAACACCATAACTACCTCCACAGGACACCCGTAACTACCCCCAAAGGTCACCATAACTACCCCACATAGACCACCATAACTCCCCCCACAGGACCACCATAACTACCCCCACAGGATACCATAACTTCTCCCACAGGTCACCATAAATACCCCAACAGGACACCATAACTACCCCAACAGGACACCATAACTATCCCCACAAGTCACCATAACTATCCCCACAAGTCACCATAACTACCCCCACAGGTCACCATAACTACCCACCACAGGTCACCATAACTACCACCACAGGTCACCATACCTACCACACATAGAACCCAATAACTACCCCAACAGGACACCATAACTACCCCCACAGGACACCATACCTACTCCCCATACGACACCATAACTACCCAACATAGAACAAAATAGCTACCCCTACCGAACACCATAACCACCCCCACAGGACACCGTAAATACCCCCACAGGACACCATAACTACCCCCAAAGGTCACCATAACTACCCCACATAGACCACCATAACTTCCCCACAGGACACCATAACTACCCCACAGGTCACCATAACTACTACCACAGGTCACCATAACTACCCCTTACAGGTCATCATAACTACCCCGACAGGACACCATAACTACCCCCAAAGTCACCATAACTACCCCACATAGACCACCATAACTTCCCCCACAGGACACCATAACTACCCCCACAGGTCACCATAACTACTACCACAGGTCACTATAACTACCCCTTACAGGTCATCATAACTACCCCGACAGGGACACCATAACTACCCCCACAGGTCACCATACCTACCCCCACAGGACACCATAACTACCCCACATAGAACACAATAAATACCCCACAAGTCACCATACCTGCCCCCATACGACACCATAACTACCCCACATAGAACACAATAACTACCCCCACAGGACACCATAACTACCCCACAGGACACCATAACTACCCCCACAGGTCACCATAACAACCCCACAGGTCACCATAACTACCTCCACAGGACACCATAACTACCCCACAGGACACCATAACTACCACCACAGGGACATCATAACTACCCCGACAGGGACACCATGCACCATACAGGACACCATAACTACCCCCACAGGTCACCATAACAACCCCCACAGGTCACCATAACTACCTCCACAGGACACCATAACTACCACCACAGGACGTCATAACTACCACCACAGGACATCATAACTACCCCGACAGGACACCATAACTACCACCACCACATCATTAAGTTCAATAGTGCCCTCTAGTGACAAAAGACAATACCAAACACCTTACGAGTACAATTGGGATAGTGTAAGTGTGAAGAAACAGATAAACACGTGTGGTGGTTCGGAATGTGTCAACAGGGAAAGACCAAGTAGAGATTTGTTAGCACACAATTACTAAGAGTTTTCGTAAAATTGTGTGGCTGCTTAAGGCTAACGTTAAGCCTGTCGACATGAGAGATATTATTCAACTGGCTCAGGCTTGACTGTCATATTATTGGTGACGAGGCAATTGTTAACTGAAGCTGTGATTATGTTATAAAAATAATTTGAGAGAGAGAGAGAGTGTGTGTGTTTGTTTGTGTGTGTGTGAAAGATAGTTTTATATGGTAGATGTATAAGATAAATTAAAGTAACAAACAACGATCTGATAAAACTGGGACAATTATTTTAATTTGTAAAAAAGCTGCACAAGTTATATATAAGGTCAGTATTATTGTCTGGACCTGGAGTGTTGTTGTCACTCAGAGCCGACGCCAGAAAGACGCGAGAGGCCTTTGACATGTGGTGCTTGTGCTACAGTGGTGTTAGTGCTACAGTGGTGTTAGTGCTACAGTGGTGTTAGTGCTACAGTGGTGTTAGTGCTACAGTGGTGTTAGTGCTACAGTTAGAGGCAACATTATGATTCTCGTCAGCCAACATCTTCCCACAGGACATTATATTTGTTCTCGTTGGTCTAACTCCAGAATCGAAAACGTGAGTGTGAACTGTTGAATCCTCCGAGAACTCTAAATAACTCTGATAAGTGTAATTGTGTACTGTATATTGATCGTGTTAATCAAAATGTGTCCTGGTGTACCAGCAGTTGTTATATGTGAATTGTATTCAGCAGGTTTTGACCGAATTATACTCATCGCGTCAACGACAATAGTCTTATTGTCCTGCACAAGCCAAAATCGCTCCGATAAGCGATTACAATATGTACTGATAGATTAACAAATGAAGAAGTATTAAGACCCGTTTGAATACTGAAAGAAATATTTGAAATTTATAGAATAAGTAAGACGAAAAACTTTGGCTAATGAGATGAGAGGATACTGGTTGAGATGTAAACAAGTTGGCGGAGCGATACAAAGTCTGGTTGTGTTGATAAAGGCAGCCTGAGGAAGTTTGGAGTGGAGGTTCTGACTGACTGCAGTGCATAACTAACGGAAATGAAAGGAAGGTGTGTCCACCTGGAGGTAAAATCCGTAAGTATTGGCCAGATACAGACAGGTGGAAGAGGAGATTAATGATGATGATGATGATGATGATGATGATGATTAGTACTAGTAGTATTCAGTAAGCACTTCATAAAAATTTACAATTCGTTTAGTGTATATGTTGGGCTCAAAGAGCGAAAACGACCACAACGCGTAGTGGATTTTTTTTTAACCAGATAATGAAATTTTGCGTCGTGGGTTTTCTCCAGAATATTCAACCCAACCCAACCTAACCTAACAAACGTAACCTAACCTAACCTTACCTAACCTGTAGCAAAATTTCGCCTTTTCGTTATTTTCCAAACAACACAACGCTTTGTGGTTAGTTTTCGTTCTTTGAGCAAGTACCTAGACAGTGTAGGTATACAAACAATAATAAACAGTACGGTAACTGGATATCTACAGGAATAAAAAAAATGTTTGATAACATTACTGGCTTTAATATGGTCAGATAACTTGTTCCAGTCCGTTATGGCAGAAAAGAAGAAAGTTTGACCACTCATACCAAATACAGTATCATAAAATGTCACTGTCTAAAGGATGAAGAATATTTATCCTAGCATGACTGGTATTCACTATATTATCTTCAATCAATTCTCAAGATAACTAAGAGTCAAGGTATGACGCAAAAGGGAAGAAGGAAAAGGAACAAAAATCTAAGATGCAGGCGAAAAAAGTAACATGGTACTGTTTATCAAGCAACACATGACGTTACACTGTCGAAATACCCAAAAGGGAGTCGCCACAGAATATATAAACATGTTTATCTAAAGACAATATGCCAGCTGACTAAGTACAGTACAAACAAACAGCATGAAAGTAGAATACTAATGACTCGCCACCAAAGGCTAAGAATTAGGGAAGTAAAATAAATATAATTATATAAAAAAAATAAAAAAATAAAATATCAAGAGTGAGAAACGATATACTGTATGTTGTGTTGTCAATAGTAAGAGAAACAATTGAGGCCCTGCAATTGTGTGTAAATGAGGCAGAAAGTCATTGAGTAACCTGGGACTTGGTCACAATTTTTGTGATGACATATGGCAGCAGGGTCTACCATTAGTCAATACATTATAGTTCCAATATCTTCCCAATACCCCACATGCTCAGGTTGGTATCAAGGTCTAAAATTCAATACTTGATAAAGGTAAAAGGAGAAAGTCGTCAGTAATGTAGTGTCTACTGATGCTTCTAGTGGTGCATGGAAACTCAGGATGGCTGGTATAAAGACGTATAGTACACATGGCTAAAGAATCACATCTTCTTTTGCAGGTCGATACTTCATAACCAGCTAAGCTAAGAGACTATAAGACATAATTCACACCAGTACTATAAAGTAACACAATGGTTATAGAAGAACCCTTAAGGAATATGAGCCACATGGACAACAATTCGAGAAGAAGGTTCACAGAGGTTGTGAATGAAGGATTCGTCCACGATGACAGCGCCTCTGGTGGTGAGCAAAACCAGTGTACATCATCAGTTTCTGCACTGGAAACGAAATTAGAAAACAAAACAGAATCTGCTCGACAAGTGATAACAATCGCCGTGGAGGCAGAGAGTCCTGGAGATCTTGAGAGACCTGACACAGAGAGATTTGGTCAAGATGAGACACCTGAATCTGACTCTGCCTGGATGGTGGCGGTGGGAGCTTCTCTTATTATGGTAAGTAGAGGAATGACTTGGGTGATGACGGGTGACGTGAAGGGTAGTACAGCAGAGGGGAGCTGTACTGAAGGTTGGTCCAGGTGGAAGGTGATGGTTGCATAATATTTATTGTTATGTATTAGAAACTTCTAGTCGACAGATTAATATTTACTCTGAGCTTCCATCGAATACTTAGTGTTGTATGCAAGTACGAAGTTAACTATAAATTTATCTCGTGTAACCGTGTAACAAATTACTGGCGTGTTCCCAGTGAATTTAACTCCGTAATTCTTTGATAACAGACATTATTTTTTTTTTCCTTTTTTTTTTTTAGGTTAAGGTGGGGAAAGGATGGAAGGCATGCTGGGGCTCAAGGCACAGCCAGACATGAGGGATGGAGAAGTCACAACATATAGTCGTGGGGGGAAAGGTTGGAAAAGAAGTTTAGTGAGTTAAACAGAGGGGGACGACACCCCTTGTTTTACATATTTCAGAGTTTGTTGGCTAACTAAGCTAACCTAGGATTTAGAATGAGGTTGCACAATGGTTATTTTAGTAGACAATGACTAGATTGATTTTACAATTACAAGTTTATTAACATCTTATACTGTATTACGTTATAGACTCACTTGATTGTGACTTGTTAAATGTGAATTTATATCATCTAAGTTTTAATCTAAGGTGGATCACTGTGGCGGACATAGATGGGTCGCGGGTTGGGTTGTTGAAGTGCGGGCAGACTCCGGGGCCACCAGGCGTGGGGTCTCCCTCCGTTGATGTCTTCCCCGCGTAGGTGGTCTGGGCTGTGAGGGTCGTCCAGGAGCTTGGCCCAAACCTTCTTCCCTAGGCGATGGAACCTGAAGTTGAGGGCCTCTGTTTTATTTCTTAGGTGGATGGTTTCCACTGTCTCCTGGTAGGGTGGCGCTTGGCCACTGGCTGACCTCAAACACTTGTTTTGGAAGCTCTGTAGTTGTTGTAGTCTAGTCTTCCCGAGTGTGACGAGTGGTATAGATGGGTACTCCAACACAGGCCTCACCAGCACCTTGTACAGGTGAACTTGTATCTTCTCAGGCATCAATTTAAAACGTTTTAATTTGGCTGCGGCGACTTTGGCTTTATTTAGTCTGTCCTTCACGTGGGGAATGACGCCCGTCCGAGAAATGATGAGGCCGAGCAGCCTGCCTTGTTTAGAGTACTCAATCTCTTCGTCGTCGATCATCAATGGGGCCGGCTTGAATTTGGCTATGGGTATGACCTCAAATTTCGTTTTGTTTGTTTTTATTTTCCATTTATTTTCATACTCCGAGATCTCCTCTATTGCCCGAGCAGTGAGTCGCGCCATCCTTGCTGTGGACCTTCCTGGGCAGGTGACGATCTGTGTTACATCGTCGGCATACATGACGTACTCGCTGCCGACGATTGGGGGTGGCAGGTCAGCCGTGTAGAGTGTGTAAAGGGTTGGTGAGAGACAAGAGCCCTGAGGCACGCCGCTCGATAGTGAGAATTCTTCTTCAAAATGTTCTTGCATCTTGATTTTGGCTCTGCGGTCCATAATGAAGTTGCACGGCAGGCGCGTCAGATTTTCGGGTAGCCCCAGTTGTAAGATCTTATACTGCAGCCCTGCGTGCCAAACTTTGTCAAACGCCTTGCTGACGTCCCTCAGTATTATATTGCACTGCAGGCGGCCAGTCATGTCATTGGCGATCTGCTCGTAGGCCTGAGTTATGGCGGTGGATGTACCTCGGTACTGGCGGAAGCCGAACTGGCGGGGATTATGCACGTCTTCGTCCTCCAGATACATCCGCAATCGCTTGTTGACTATTTTTCGAAGATTTTGGCAGGTACCTCTAGCAGCGATATTGGTCGAAAGTTTTCGACTTTGTTTGGAGGCTTCCCTGCTTTTGGTATGAGGCGAATAACGGCAATTTTGAACATCTTAGGGAAGTATCCAGAGGCGAGGCAGGCGTTGCATTTATGAGCAAGCCTCTCTATCATGTTGTCGGGGAGTTGAGCCAGGATCTTCTTGTTAATGTGAATTTGACCAGGTGATTTGTTTTTAAACCCTTTTATGACGGCTGACACATCTGCAGGAACTATGCGCTCCGTCAGGTAGCTTCCATCCACCAGTCTAGTGAAGTCAGTCCTCAAACTCCCTGTCGAAGCCCTCGTTCTCCTGTTCACTAATGGTAAAGATCTTTCGTAAATATCGCCGATGTATTTGTTCTTGGTTTTCTTCCTCGAATATTTTCACGTTGTTTTGGTCGAGCAGGTAAGGGACCGTGCTAGAGGTGGAACCCATCAGTCGCTTGATCCCTTTCCAGAATGCAGCAGAATCGCGGTAATTGTTGGCTGCCTCCCACACCAAGACGGCCCACTTTTGTTCATGTAGACGTTTGCTCTCGTGCTGGATGTCCGTCTGTAGCTCTCGGTACCGGTCTCTCAGCTCTTGCGTCCACTCGCGGATGCTGGCTAGCTGTCTCACGTGAGCGTACTGGACACTGAGCTGCCTCAGCTGGTGACTAGTATGAGGATGGGGAATGGTCCTGTAACTGGTGGTCGGGATGTTGTTGTCCATCTCCGTCTTCACATCCGTATACCATTGTTCGACCGAGTCGTCGATGTCATTGGGGCAGGCTTCTTCCAGATTTCTCCCCTGCTTGAGACTGAGAGACTCCTTGAAGGAGTCCCAGTCTGCCCGTTTGAGGTTTGACCTGATGTTGGCGGGGATCATAATGGGATTGGATGAGAGCGTCACGACGACTGGCAGGTGATCGCTGGTACTGATGGGTCCGGCGGTAACGTGCCTGTTCAGGACGGCCTCGTTGTTAGAGAGGATTATGTCGGGTGTTGTGGCACTGGCACGTCTGATCAATGTCGGGAAATCCGGCCCGAGGTGTTGCAGTTTTCCCCTTCTGATGTTGTCATACAGCGCCACACCGACGTTGTTCTCATTACCGTGTCCTAGTATGGCGTGGCGCGCATTAAGTCCCCTATGATGTATGTTGGTTTTCTGTGGCGTAGCAACTGGTTTAGGTCTTGTTCAGGTAAGTAAGGACGTCTGGGAGGTAGGTACATTGTGCATATGATAGCAGATCCCCTAGTTGTCTCCACCTGCACTCCCAGAACTGAATCCTCGAAGTCTGGCAACACTCTGTGACTCAGCCGTGACCTGATGGCCACAGAGACACCATCGTTCAGCTCACCCGTCATGTTCCTCTGGTATACAGTGTAGCCAAAAATGTTCAGCTTACTTTCGTCCTTCATGCCAGTGCTGTTTAACAGAATGATGTCTGGGTCTAATTGATAGTATAAGTTAGACAGGTCGTTACGTCTATTAAGGGACCAGTGTAGGACATTATGTTGGACAATTTTCATCCTGCTAACGACTGCCATTTCGGAGACTGTAGCTTGGGGCGTCGCTTGGAGTGTTTGCTCGGCTTCTGCCATTTCTAGGGGGACGGAACTTCTTAGTAGAACCTTCGGACATCTGCTTGTCAGTCAATGGCGGGCCCTCGAACTTCTCGTCACCCGTGTGCAGGAAGGTGTTCAGGTCCTGGGCCTGCGTGTCGTAGTAATCAACTGACGCTGCAGCTCGAGGGTCTTGTTCCTCTGTGGAGTGAGTCGTCATCATCTGGTCGCAGCCATTGACTGTGGTTGCAGTCCGATGATCACTGTCGTCGCTGGGAGTGCATGTAATGGGATCGCGGGCATTTACGGTGTCGTTGGAGCTGTGATCCCAGGGGGACTGACTGGCCACGTCGGGATTGCGGTTATACTGACTTTTGCCTAAGTCAAGGAGGACATGGTCTATTTCTGGCGTGGATTGAGGTCGTCGATAAGTCGTTGAGCGGGTTACTGCCTTAAGGATTTCTTTTGAAGGGACTTTGTCGCTTATTTCAACAGGTGCAATGTTGTTCCTGGTTAGTGTCTCGTTGAGGTGTTTCGAGAATGAACCTGGATGAACCATGTTCATGTGATGGGCATGCAGGTAAGACAAGTATATAGTGGTGGCTTTGGACTCGTCCAGCTGTGGAGAGGAGACGCTCCTGATGCTCTCGGCCACTGCGTCCCTCATGGCGCCCAGTGACTCAGTAACTGCCTGTTTTATTGAGTCCTTGATGGTTCTTATCTCTAATTGCAGGACTTCCATGGTCTCGCTGACATTGTTGAGCATTTGGGAGTCTGCTTGAGTTTCTTTTAGAGCTTCTTTTAGGGTTTGGCTGTATGCCATGATCGTCGACTGAGTGGTCCTTTCTATGGTGTTAGAAATTTCCCTGGTTTCTTTTGTTTGGTTATTTCATTAAGTTTCTTCTCTGTTTCTTGAAGTACCTGTTTCCTGACCAAGCAGGTGGCAGAGAAGGTCCTGTGATCACCCTCGCAGACGACACACTTTTTTATGGTGCTACGGCAGTCTTTGTAGAAGTGCTGATCAGATGAACACTCAGAGCATATGACCCCTTGCATGGGGCAGTTCTTGGTCACGTGGTCATTGTATTTATAGCACTTCATACATTGTTGGATGGGCGTATACTTTTCATATTCTATTTGGTGGGATGAGATGGAAGTGCCATCATAGAGCCCCTTCTCCGTCATTCTTTTTGCATCCGTTGTGTCTGCAAAGCGAACCTTGATTATATTATGGGCATACATAGGATACACCTCCACAACCTTGACATTGTTTTGCTTTTGTATTTCATCTCTTATTTCTTCTGCGTTATTTTCCACTACATCTTTGTCTAACTTCTTACATACAAGGGTGAGCTTGGCGCCGTATTCCCGTGGGACAATGACCTCGTAACCGTTGGTTTTCATTTTGTCCATGGCACTAGACTTAAGTAGCTTATCAGCATCTTCATCTGTTTCTGTGAGGATGATGTAACCATCTCTCAGAACCACAAGTCTATTTATCCTCACCCTTAGGTCACTCAATAGCCTTTTTAGCCCTATCCGAGACCCCTGAGTCGGGGTTCCGGAGATCTTCACTCTCACTTTGGCTATGGTCAGTAACATACATGAATGAATGAATGAAAATCCTACCTAATCTGTCCACCTCAGCCGCTCCTTCTGTCCGCTTGCTGGGCGAGTAAAGACGGGTCTAAGGGTAGGGTGAACAGACAATCCCCTGACGGGGGCCTAGCCAAGCCCTAACACCTAGCAGTGACAGGTTATGAAGCACTGTCGAATCCCTGACAGAAAATGTTGCCACCCTTACTGTCTCGACTCAGCAGCCCTCTGAGGGCCCCCCTGGAGGCTCTGCCCGCAGGGTTCGCGTCGTTACCAAACAGCAGGGACTCTAGTCGAAAGGATAGGATAGGGAAGAAGCACAGTGTACAAGAATAATGATATCCATGTACAACTACATGATAAAGCAGTCAGAACGGACCCAACGCGAAAAAAAGGCAGACAGTCGTAACGGTCAGCGATTTGAACTGAGCAGGGAGCGAGGCGTAGCACGTCCGCTCGCTGTGGAGGTTGGGTGCGCTCTGATAACAGACATGGGGAAGGTAGTTAAACATCCATCAACAGTTAATTACTTAGAACTAATAGAATTACTAATACACATACAAATTACATCAACTGGATGGGCAGGGTCATGACACAACGCCAGTCCTGCGTGAGGTCGTCAAATACCCTGTGGTAGTCCCGTATAATGGTGCTCGTAAGGTGCAGTCGACGAAAGATGCATCGACTCCACCCTGGCTCTCGTACTCGCAATTTTACCTGGCAACACTTGAAGTAAGGCTGTATGTAATGGGGATTGTGATTGGTTGAACTATTTCCGGCTGTATCACTGGTAGGATAAATATTAAACAATTCAAAGGCGGGATTTTTATGAAAATGAACTATTCGTTGTTATCTAAGGTCATGCCAATTTTCAAAATGTTCATATATTTGCTTCAGTAATGAAGAAATTATATTAATGAATTGGCAACTCAACTAATACCAGGGCTGACGCAGGATATAAACTGATCGATGACTTCCAGGATGAATTTCTAGCAATAAAAATAAATACAACTCAAGGAGACGTAATTATTGCTACTACTTATGCCACCGAGACGACCCTACTTACCTATAGAAGACCTATTAAAATTGATTAACAATAGTCACCCTATGTACTGTACATCTTAAGAGACCTTAACGTCAGACACAGGATTTTCGACAATACAAATAATAACGCCGTGGGAAACGCCCTTAATCAATTAATAAACCTAGGGAAAATCAATCATCTAGGTCCTAACTTTCCAACCTGGAGAAATCACAATACACAATCGACACCAAACAAAACTTTTACCAACAACAAAGCCTTTTTCAATTACCATATAAAACAAGGACCTCTGACAGGCAGTGACCATCTACCAATTATACTAACACTGTCAACAAGCCCCATACAGATACCAATAAAAAAAGAGGCAAAATGAGCAAAACAGACTGGGACAGCTTCAAAGACGACTTAGAAAATCACCATTCGATTATTCTACATGGGAAAACAAGAGAAGACATAGACTCAGAAATTGACAGACTGCACTCAGCAATAAAGACATCTACACTGTATAACCAAACACAACCCTATTTCACACTTCAGAACATTACCCAACAATAAACTAACAGAAGAAGTTACATTAATCCAAACCATTACAATGAAATAAACAGGTATATGGAAAGACATGGCAGTAACATATGGCTATATACGACACAGATAGCACAACAGATAAAATTGAGAGACGCATGTAAGGAAGCAAACAACAACAAATGAAATGATATTATAATGGCGGCTGACAAGACTAAAGACACAAAAACATTTTGGACTTTCATAAACAATATGATGGGGCATAACAAGCAAAAAACATCATACATTAAAGACCATAATGGAACAAAACTGTACGAGGAAAATGAACAAGAGTCAGTATTCAAAAGGGAATGGGTAAATGTTTTGAAAATATCAGATGAGGAAAATGAAGATATTGGTAGTGAACACGAAGAAAGGATAGAAGACGAAATGGGAAGACACATACATAGAATAACCCCAAGGCAACATATAGACTATAACTTATTACCTAATAATCAAATAATAACTATGGGAGAAATGATGCACTGTCTGAGGAAATTTAAAGAAAAGGCCCCCGGTCTCACGGGTATTAATCGAAATATGATCATAAATCTACTGGGAAAACATCTTAAAAACATTATTGAGCATCTATAACGCATGTTTAATAACGGGTTACTTTCCAGACAAACTAAAATATGCTAAAATTATATTTATTCCCAAGGAGGGTAAGGACAATAAGAAAATATTAAACTACAGGCCAATATCTTTATTAGAAATTACCGGGAAACTAATGGAAAAAAATTAAATTCAAGACTTATAACTTTTTTAACACAACATTGGAAAACAAACAACAGACAACATGGATTTATGCCCAATAGAAATACCCTAACTGCAATAGCTACAATAACGGAAATAATGGCAATAGAAAAAAGCAAGGGGAACCAGATCAATATAATTTCAAGGGACATTTCTAAGGCTTTTGATAAAGTTTGGCATTTGGGCTTAAGATATAAGATATTAAAATTGGGACTTAACGAACACTTGCTAAGAATATTGTGTGACTATTTAGATGATAGAAGAGCACAAATTCAAATTGAAAACTGTATGGGAACTATGTTTAATCTCGAGAGTGGAGTACCTCAAGGAGGATGCCTTTCTCCAACACTATATACAATATATACCTCAGTCACACCTCAACCTACCCCCTTTAGCGAATATGTAATGTTTGCTGATGATATCACTCAAATATTATCATACTCAGGAAAAAAACTCAGTTTCACCACTTTTCTTCAATCCCTAATAATCTTCTTTCATCTCATAACTCATGACGCTAATGCCAATTCGCACATAAAATGTCTTTCATTATTTAACCAAATATACAAACATTTAGAAACTTCTCACGATCTTAAATAACGATGAATAGTTTATTATTATAAAAATGTTACCTTTGGTTTGTTTAATAATTATCCTGACAGTAATGCAGCAGAAAATAGATCAAACATTTGCAATCCCCACTACATACAGCCTTACCACACCATGTGTTGCCAGGTGGTGAGAGTACGAGAGCCAGGGTTGGGTCGATGCATCTTTGGTTGACTGTACGTAAGTAAGGGTCTCGGACCTGGTATCACTTACAAATGAGGTATAATGATACAGGTTCACTGGCATGAGCACATAAGCTACATTATAAGCACATAAGTATTGCCTAAGTTGCGCATAAGAATCAAAGCAGCACATAAGACTGGAAAGGTCACTCAGACGATAGAGATAAAATACACAAAGATCATTTAGTTGTGAGGTAGCAAACACTAGGCAGAGGGTGGCGCTGAAGAAAGTCCAAAAATGCCTTACACAGGCTGTTGAAGGAGACCAGAGAGTAAATCTGAGGGAATGACTGCTTCAGAAAGACTAACAACGCCTTATAGGACCCTGTCCCATGCAAAAATCGAAGGGGCTGTGACGCCACGTTTAGGCTACGCGACGTTAATTAGCTCGAGAACCAGTGATGCAGAGACGGACGCCAAAGTGACAGGTACCACTGTGTCGGTATTGGTTTTCAAGCCAAAATGTGATGGCGAGACGTTACATTACCTTCAATTAAAAATTATCTAATGAAAATAATTGTAATATCAAAATTATATTGGCTTCAGTTATTGGTAGATTAAGTAGTTTCTCCTGCTTCGTTATTTTCACCATTCAAACTCTTCCTCCCTTACCTTGTCACTTCAGATGTTGACGGACATGGTAGGGGCTTGCTTCAGCCTCATCTTCCTCCCTTTATTCCTGGAGTTGGGGACCTCCTCCTCTACAAGCGGCAGGCTCTTCAACATCATGGAGTTTATGTGGAGTATATCTGGATTGATTATTGGTCCACTGGTGAAGAGATTCGGGTGGAGACAGGTGGCTCTAGTGTGTTCCCTCTTGATCACGTCCTCCTTCATCATCTCCTCCTTCGCTACCTCCGCCTGGTTCCTCCTCTTCTCCTTCTCCATCCTGGCAGGTAAGACTCGCATCTACACACCCCCTACCTGAATGTTAGATTTAATTAGAGAAAATATTAAAAATCTTTTCCAAACTTCCTTACTTCAGCTGTCCATGATGGTTACGTTGAATCGCTTTACAGTTCACCAGTATTTGTATACCTGCTTGTTTATGTACATTGTATACAACGAATGAATGATTTTAACAACCCAACTAAGACAACGACGGGAGGAGTGGCGGTGTTATTATACAATTACTCGGACCCTCCATAAAAATACCTGTTGGAACGAGTCACATTGTATACCTTATATGACGTTTTTACTGAGCATTTATGTATCTATGTATCTATTATAACTATTATATCTATCTATTATATATATTATATCTATCTATTATATATATGTATCTATTATAACTATTATATCTATCTATTATATCTATGTATCTATTATAACTATTTTATCTATCTATTATATATATTATATCTATCTATTATATATATTATATCTATCTATTATATATATGTATCTATTATAACTATTTTATCTATCTATTATATATATTATATCTATCTATTATATCTATTATATCTATCTATCCATTATACCTATCTGAACTAAATACTGTTCATTGTTCATCACTGTTCCACACTGATCCCACTCCTTTCCGAAACGATTTGGTCAATTTTAGTGGGATTATATTGACATCCCGGTGGAGAGGATGGGTTGAGGGGAAGGAGTTGAGGGTATGGGCCAAACTCTGGCCATGGCAGCTACCACAGCAGCAGCAACGCCGAATTGGTCTTGACCCTCCGGTGGTCAAGGATAATTTTGTTTTTGTGTGTGTGTGTTTGTGCCTCCTCGTGGCAACACACGGTAACTGGGTGCCTCGTGGGCACAGGCTAGACCAGCAGGGGATCTCAAAGTAGCAGTGGGCCCACTGGGATGTGGACACGTCCGTGCGCTTACCAACCACTGCCCCGCTACCTTGTGGATTAACCTTGGCAGGTATAAGGCTACGGGAGTAAACCCCAAACGAAAAATCTGCGGTGGAGCCCCGCATCAGGCTGACATGCTTACAGAGCTCCAGCAAGACCCCAACGGCGGTGTAGACAGAAGGGGTGACCACCATGGGAACCCAACGACTACACCGGCGGACGAAGGCAAGGCATGATGGACAGGCTACTAAGGCGAAACCCAACAAACTGGGCTATTGGCACTCCATTGCATCTCTCCCTCTTCCCAGTCGTTGCAACACTTGCACCACTGGATCAGGAAAAGGGAGAGCCAAGATGTGTGGTTGCAGTCTGCTCTCCTGCCTCCCCACATAAATCAACTAATGCGCAGCCATCATCCAGCTCATTCATACCTCTCATCATCATAAAAAATCCTATACCCACAGAAGTCCTATGGTGACGGACGAGTGGCGACGGGGACAGGCAGAGATGACTGCCGGGAGTCTCTAGTTACAACTCTGCACATGGGCGGCAGAACAACCCTCAGTCTTGGACCAAAGCAGCAACCGAGAGAGAAGTTTGCAATCTAAAGAATGACTGGTATAAAAATAAAGCATGTGAAACACAAAAAAAATACAGATCAGCAAAAGATGCGCGAATTTTTCAATCCCACCAAAACATTTTATGGGCCAATCACTCGTGGCCCAGCACCCTCCCCCCATCCGACGGTAATTGGAGATGATGAAGGCCTCTTTCAGTGCTGGAAGGAGCACTACCATTCACTGCTCAACCAAAACACCGATGTGGATGTCCTGACTACCCAGCAGGTCCTTCAGCATCCAGAGTCGACCCACCTCACCTATCCTCCATCCCTGGATGAGGTGGCTACTGCCATCAAACAGATGGAAAATAGCAAAGCCTCAAGGCCTCATAGAATCTCAGCCTAGGTGTATAAAACAGGAGGACCTCTGCCTACCAGCCGTCCCCACTCTCTCCTGGAGAATATATGGGAAAAGGAGGAAACCCCCCAAGCTTTTAAAGACGCCTCGATCGTCAATATTTATAAGAACAAGGGAGACCGGTCAGACTGTGGCCACTACCGCGGGATCTCGCTGCTGTCCATAGCTGGCAAGATTATCGCCCGAGTCCTCCTAAACAGACTTCTTTCTGTAGCGGAAAACTTCCACTCAGAATCTTAATGTGGCTTTTGACCATCACGTGCCACCAGTGACATGATCTTTGCTGCCCACAGTGCAGGGAACAGCGTCGTGACCTGTACATGGCTTTCATCGACCTAACCAATGCCTTCGACTCGGTCAACAGGGAAGCCCTCTGGTGGACCCTCAGCCGTTTTGGCTGCCCCCAAAAATCCATCGCCATTGTGAGGCAACTCAACGATGGCATGAACGGCAGTATCCTGCACAATGGCGCCCAGTCTGAGTTCTTCCTCATCCAAACAACGGTTAAACAGGGGTATGTACTGGCACCAACCCATTTTCCATTTTTTGGGCTGCCTTCCTTACTCATGCCAGTGCCAATTTAACCGGCGGGGTGGACATCGAGTACCGGATGAAGGGTCTTTTCAACATGAGACTACTCCAGGCAAGAACAAAGGTGTCGGCAGCTTTCATTACTGAACTTCAGTATGCAAATGACCTCATTCTTGTTACTCACACTGAACGCGACCTACAGGAGATCCTGAACACCTACGCAAATGCATATGCACACTTCAGCCTTGAGGTGAATGTATGTAAGACTCAGATTCTCTTTCAACCTGCCTCTGGTTCAGTCACACCTCCACCATCCATCCAGTTTAACGGTACTACCCTCTCTAATGTTACCCACTTTCGATATCTTGACTCCCACCTGTCCACCACCGCTGACATCGATGAAGAGATTCAGCAACGGTTCAGATGTGCATCTCAAGCCTTTGGTAGACTCCGAAATCGTGTCTTTAGCTGCAGGGAGCTGAAATTATCTACAAATTTACACGTATTTCGAGCAGTGTTCCTCCCCACCCAGCTATATGGCAGCGAGACATGGATCACATACTGTACAGGAGGCACCTCAAGGCACTTGAAGACTTTCACCAACGTAGTCTACGTTCCATCCTCCGAGTTCGCTGGGAAGAGAAGAGAACAAATGCCAGTATTCCTGCTGACACCAACTGAAGAAGTATCGAGGCTACCATTATCCATGAATAACTACGCTGGACTGGCCAATTTACCGGCATGGACGGCAGTAGACTGCCAAAGCATCTGATTTACAGTCACCTAACGAATAGTAAACGTAATGCTGGCGGGCAACTTAAAAGGATAGTCTTAAGACAAACCTGAAAAAGGGCCAAATCCACCCCCTCACCTGGGAGACGATTGCTCCACACTGTAACGCTTGGAGGAGCACCGCACGAGGTTTCAATACTTTCGAGTTGGCCCGACTGCATAGCGAGGCAGACAAGCGTCAACGCCTGAAAGACACTGCCGCCCCCCCTCCCGTACTAGATGTAGCCCTCCACGTTTGCCACATCTGTGATCGACCCTACTGGTCTCGTATCGGCCTCTTAGTCACCTCAGAACTCACCAACCTCGGTGACATCTTTAATAACTTATATCATTGTATCATAGCTGGATGATCGTCATACTCGATTCCGAGTGACAGCAAGGTAGTAAGTAGAGTGAGTGAGTGTGTGTGTGTGTGTGTGTGTGTGTGTGTGTGTGTGTGTGTGTGTGTGCGCGCGCGCGCGTGTACACGTATAGTGTACACGTCATCCGCATCCCAGAGCACCAACTCGCCTACCAGATCCTCTACGGACAGGTGTCCGAGGCACGCCACAACCCTGGAGGACAATGCAAAGGGTACAAGGACCAGCTCAGAAGGACGCTAAAAAATATAATATTCCTCCAAAGGATCTCGAAACCATTGCATCCGACCGTAGTCAATGGCGCTCCACCTGTACCCAAGGCGTCAAACATCTTGAGAGCGAGTGTAAAGGGCCAGATGTGGACATAGGGAGAGGAGACACATATCGCGATCCCAGGGACTTACCACCCAACCCAGAGCTGTCCTGCTCAATGTGCAATAGTCTGCGGGTCAAGGAGCGGACTCCACAGCCACATCGCTGACAACATCCCGAGTTCACCACTCATCAACGTCGATTGTCTAATGAAGCAGAGTCGTCGTCGACTTCGACGGTCTGCCTTAAGCAGTGTGTACACACACTTCAAGGTTGTACTTTCGGTTGATCATCAATTTCCATTCATTAAAATGTGCAATACACATACATATATTAGTGTAAAAATATAAATTGGAAAATATTGCTTCAAACATCATGGACACATACTACAAGTATCCCCATAACCCCAACATAACAAAGATAACTCATCCTTACTGATGTATGTAGTAGGTGGACTGATTCTTTATTTTATCTCAGGGGTGAGCTGTGGAATTGTCAACAACCTGTGCCTCCTCATCATCCCTCACTACTTCAAGCAGAAGAGGGGAGTTGCCAATGCTTTCATGATGGCCGGCTCCAGCATAGGGCAGATGGTTGGACCCATTCTTATAAGCTCCGTGCATGATGAGTTTGGTTTCATCGGTGGTACGTTCATCGTGGGTGCTGTTGTCCTTCACTGCTGCGTCGGCGCCTCACTCTTCCGTCCCATTCAGGTTCACACGAGACTCAGACAAGATTCCACGAAAACAAAAGATTGGGAACCATCAGCAAAAAATACTGAAAATACAGTTAATAAAAGTACATGTAAGGTCTTAACAGAAGCATTCGTAAGTATTTGTCATGATGTTGTGGCAAACTTCTCCATCCTAAAGTCCCTGCGAGCTATCATCATCGCTTTGGGAGGGATGCTTTTCGTCAACACTTTTCTCAACTTCCTAACCTTGGTTCCCTTTGCAGTAGAAGCAGCGGGTCACCCTGGCCAGGTAACCAACTGGCATTTCATGGTGTCGGCTGCTTGTAACTTGGTGGCTCGTCTTGTGGTGTGTTTACTGTCAGACTTCTCGAGGTTCAGCATGCAGGTCTGTTTCATGACCAGCGCCGCCATCACTGCCTTATCCATCCTCGGTTAGTGAGCCATAACATTCTCTCTTGAGATACATTGCCCAGTGTAAATATATAGGAATACTTTTTCTCCAGTTCATAATAACAGTATAAGCAAGTCTTATTCCATTAATGACAGCTAGTTTGAACAATAGTGTATTGCCTTGTGTTGCTAGACACAATCTTATTCATTCATTATGTACAGTCACGAACAAAAGTTCGCTCCCGTGGTGAAACTGAGTCACGGGAATCAATCTCCGAACTGACTTTCCCTGACTGTTGTATCTTGGTGGGGGTTGATGTTGCTTTATTTTGGGCGGGAGCGAACTTTTGACTCCGAGTGTAACTATTTTGGTTTAGTATTTGATGTCACAGAAAGATATTTTATGTACACGATTGCCAGGGATTTTCTCTGCCAGAGACAGAGAGAGAGAGAGAGAGAGAGAGAGAGTACAAATATAAAAGATACATAGACAGTGCAGCTGTAACAAATTATATACTGTATATACACATTGCGGGAATACAAAAATATTCTATACAGCACGTATATAGTGCAGTATAAAAACAGGCCTGCAGGTGTACAAACAACATGTTGTACAGCGCAGGCGTACAAACAAGGTTAGTCATCAAAACCATTTCATGTTTATTTTCAGTGGGATCCATTCACTTTATGCTGGGGAACTAATCACAATGTTTTAAACTTTATTATCAGCGTATAGTGTGGTGGCAGACACGTGGTGGCAGACGCTGATCATGGGCGCGTTTGGGTGTGGCGTGGGCGGCTATATGGGCATCTATAACCTGGGTGCTGCTCACTTCATGGGACTTGATGACATGGCTCCAACTATGGGAGTGAAACTACTGCTCACTGGTGTTGGCTTCGTCACCATTGGCCCCTCCATTGGTACAGTTGCGAAAATGTGTTCCTACACACCCTATGGTAACTTGTGTCTCCAAACGGCCGACCTATATGACCTATAGCACACCCAACCACCAATCACGTCCGTCGTTACACAACCAATGTGCCCATTCATTCACAAATAGTAATACTACTACTGCGACGGTGTCGTTTGGAGACACGGGTTACCACAGGGGGTGTAGGAACACATTTCTGCGACTGTACATATATAGATATATTCAGTTAAATTGCCTTAAAAATTCAAATTGATTCAGCATGCACATAAACAGTTCAAATATGTAGACAATGTACATAGACAGTGAAGGTACAACCAATCCAAAAAGTATCGAGACCCCAGGGTATGGTGGAATAGAAAATGAGCGATCATCTCACACACATTCATGTATCAGTTGGACTGTGTTGAGTTGGTTTTCGGCCGATGTTTTATATTCTTTCGGACACTTGAAGTCTTCATACTTTTTTAATTGGCTGTACTCAAACAATGTACGTCTATAAACAGTGCAAGTTAACAAATAATATATATAACACTGCAGTTATACAATATACAGTCGCTCGTGAACCAGAAGCAGTAGACAATGCATTATTCTGTCTACGGCTGCTTCGGATTCATGAGTCTGTATCTCGGGGTTCATGGAACAGCAGAAGAGACGACAGGAAATTTGTTGGCGACTGTACATAGAAAGTGAAGGTATATAAACAATATACAGACACAATACAGGTGTACAATCAATATCCATACATAGTGCAGGTAATCAAAAATGTACACGGTGTCTAAAATTGAACACGTAACCGATATTAAATAAATTGTTTGCACAGGTGCAGAAACAACGTTCACAGACAATGCAGGTAGAGAAAGTTTTCATAGACCTTGCAAGTATACATGCAATAGCAATGGTAAACAGTACGTCAATTTGACCGAGGACAGTTCAACAAAGTTGTCATAATCATAGTTAATTCCAATATTAATAACATGGTTGCCTATCAACGGAAGAAACTTTGTAGTTCTCTCTTTCATCAAGAATTATTTTTAACTCTTAATAGTCATTGTTCAAGCCAAAGCACACTAAGGGTAACCTGGGGTCTGTCGGGTCCTTAAAGGTAAAAAAAAAAAATCGAGAAAAAAAATGCTTCTTTCACTTTATTGATATAATGTTAATAACTGCTTTGGTTTTTTTAAGAAAGGCATTGCCTGAAAAATATATACAAAATTTGAAACCATTTAATTACCAAAGTAGATATTGAGATGTCTTTCCTGCCTCGTCCCTGAGAGCAGATTGGTTAAACTTACGTGTGCAAAGAGGTCCCCAACAGCCCAGTAGAAATACAGGGCATGAAGGAAAAAATGCCCTTAAGTCTTTTGGCTGATAAAATGTATGAAAAATTCTCTTACCTGCGGTTACTGGCAGTCATAGGAAACCGCACTGTGGTGTCTGTTACAGTCCAGCCACTTAAGGAGATGTACACAGTGTTCGTCTTCTTGACCTCTCTCCTGTCACACAAGGTGTGTCTCCTCTTTGGCCTGCCTGGACAGCAGCAGGAGTCTGTTGATGAGCACTGAAGTTGAAAACACTTCTTATCGCCAATGCCGCGCTCCTTAGAAGAGGTGAAAAGGCGTTGTGCTCCTCTACCTATGGTGCGACCATCTGTGGTGCCAACTCCTTTAGAAACAGACGGTGGTCCATCTTTGGCTGCTGTTGTAGCTCAGCCAGGCATTGATGGTGGCTGCATTAAGAATGATGACATACACCAGGCCACCCTTTTGTCCTACGGCTGCAAGAGAACATAGCACATAGTTAATGAAATACATTAACTCCTCCTTTGGTTTTGTTCTACAAGTTGAAGATTTCATTTGTTTCCACATAATTATTCAAGTCTTCTATTTGTATCAATTAAACAGCAAAAAACACAAAACCAAATTAAAATAGGAGCCTTAGGTGATGCACTATCCCCTTATCACATTTCAATGTGCACTGAAGCCTGAGGATAGATAAGACCAGGTGGGTGCGAGGATGGCAGGAGCTATAATTATTAACATTAAAACCTGAAAGACGTGGGGTCCGAAATATCCTGCCTTACCTATTAAGGGTTGTGTGTGTCTGCTTATGAGTTTGATAATAATAGTTATAATAATAATAATATAATAATATGTATGTAATTCTCAGTACATGTTTACCTGCAACTCATTAACCCACTTACCAATAGCGTCATCTTCGCCAGGTATGATCCGGGACGCGAGTGGCAGTTACGCCGTTAGCATGTGGGTGTTGGCCGGGATGACTGGCGGCAGCTTCACTCTCTGGGTCTTCATGCCGGCCGCCGTCCGTTACGACCACAACAAGAATCATAAACACCTCCCCCCCCTATGAAGCCTCGCCCTAATGTAGTTTAGATCCTGTCGAGGTCCTAGAAAATGTTGTTGATTATAAAAAATAATATTATAATCATTCTAGGTATTCAGTTCCCCAAGGCTGACTTTGTGAGGTTGTAATACAAGATCAATACATAGTTTCTACCAGCTGTGAGTCTTACTTCCACCACCTACCCCTTCATCAACTACCAACTGCACCAACACACATGAACCAGTATAAAATAACCCTTACTGATGTGTTGTGTCTTTTTACAGTGACTAATTCCAGTTTGAATTAACCAGAGGTACAACTTATGACACCCAGACCTACTGATGACACCTATGACACCCAGACCTACTGATGACACTTATGACACCCAGACCTACTGATGACACCACCCAGACCTACTGATGACACCTATGACACCCAGACCTACTGATGACTACATCCTTGACCACCGAAGGGTCAAGACGTACCTGGCGCTCCTCTCGGAGCAGCCAGGTCAACTGTTATGTTGGCCCATACCAACTCCCTCCCTTGAACCCTCCTCCCCACCGGAATATCAACATGTTCTCGCCAGAAGTTACTATTTCATTTAGGAAAGGAATGGAACCAGTGTTAAACAGAGGTGAACAGTGGTGAACAGTGCTTAAGCCAGTGCGAACAACTCAACAGTAACAGTGGTACCCAAGTTGACCTTCACACAGTGAGGTCCCAGGTACCCAGTGATAACGGCCCGTGAGACCCAACAACCAGCGATGTGTTAATCCGTCTACGATAGGAAGGCCTGGGACCACACCTCACTCATATAACACCATCTGTGAGGGAATTACTACACCACGTGAGGCCCCTCATAACACCATCTGTGAGGGAATTACTATACCACGTGAGGCCCCTCATAACACCATCTGTGAGGGAATTAATACACCACGTGAGGCCCCTCATAACACCATCTGTGAGGGAATTACTACACCACGAGGCCTCATAACACCATCTGTGAGGAATTACTACACCACGTGAGGCCCCTCATAACGCCATCTGTGAGGGAATTACTACACCACGTGAGGCCCCTCATAACACCATCTGTGAGGGAATTACTACACCACGTGAGGCCCTCATAACACCATCTGTGAGGGAATTACTACACCACGTCATAACACCATCTGTGAGGGAACTACTACACCACGTGAGGTCCCTCCTAACACCATCTGGGAGGGAGTTACTACACTACGTTTTTGCTGTTCAACACCTACATTAATCTGTATGTTCACTGTATGTTCCTTTACCTTTCTCTAATGAAGGCTTTTGTTAAACCACCAATGTATGTAATAAGTCATTTATGTCCAATGTATATTTTCAGCCTTCGGGCTGCAGAACTTTTTCCATAAACCGTCAATTATTATTATTATTATTATTATGACACTTATGACACCCAGACCTACTGATGACACCTATGACACACCTGTGGAACAATATACCTCCGTGTGAAGGTGTGGAACAGTGTACCTCAGTGTGAAGGTGTGGAACAGTGTACCTCAACCATACCAGGAACCACAACACTTTTAAAACATCTCTTAAAAGACGTTGACTGACAATATCCAAATGTTAGTCACACTGTAGCACCTAAACAACTCTTACCCTTGATCACAAATTACCAGTATGCAAATTTCCATTATTTCTTACACGGATAATAAATAAAACTTCAAAATAGTCAAACAATTTAAGTACTTGACGGGTGTATTGTAATATCCAGGGAAGTAATAGTCAAAATACAATTTAATATTATCAACAAAATCTCAATAGTAACATCAAGGAATTCGTAAAACAATGAATACAATAACAGCCAGGGCTAAATTACCGGCAATCACCACACAAGCTGGTGATGTTACTCGAGTTATTATATTTCTAACTTCAATTCAAGAAAGTGCCATGTAAACCTAGGATATACGTTATACTTAACTAAATGGAATGGAAATTTTCAAAGGCTAGTTAAGTCGTAGGCGAGCCAGCACACAAGTATGGTCAAGGCGCTAGCATTGTCTGGTCTAGTGAGTGTGAGATATCATAAACCAGCCGAGTTACTTTGTGGTGTATTGTGAGCATGACGTGGTTGTTACGGACGAATATATTGGTAAAATTAACTAACCACGTCAGTAAAAATTAACAAACATTTACTAAAATGAATTTGGGGTAAATCCAATATTGACCTTTATATGTATATTCAACTTATTTAAACTATAAAACCAATAAAACTGTAGCAAAGATAACAATAATATATGTAAAGCCAACCCAAGCCAAACCTTTCCCAACAACTTGAAGACGACCACACATCATAGCTTCCCACCACCATCTCTTGCATTAAAATCCTGATACTACGGTTTTTCTTCTTGCAACATTGTCAATAGGAAAAATATACCTTTTATTTCTCATGTGTTTTATTATTTTAGTATTAGTGTCATACCCACATATTCCTTTATGTATGTTAGTCCACAACCAACACACTACTGTATGTATGGTCAAAAACTACCTTACCCCCAACATTAATATCTCTACTAAGGAATGAAGAACGTGTTGTATGGTAACTTTCTGGAGTAAAGTAACTTTCCCAGACAAACACAATTCATCACTGTAATCTTGTTTAAATACAGTTTTATTATTAGCAAGTATACTGTAATAGGATACAGTCACATGCTGGTAACACATACAAGACCTCACTACTGCTTGACGTGTGTTGACGAATCCAGGTAAAAAAGTCACAGGAAAAAAGTCACAGGAAAAAAAGTCACAGGAAAAAAAGAAAAGTTAACTATCGAATTCTCACATTTTTTAAGGTTAATATGTCAACCTAACCTAACCTAACCTAACCTAACCTAACTTAACCTAACCTTTATTACCGTCCACCATAAATTAATTGTGACTTTTTTTCCCTAGCCAAAATTGTGACTTTTTTTCTGTGACTTTTTTTTCTTGTGACTTTATTACCGGCCACCGTGTTGACATGTTACATCATATATCACGTGATTCCCCGGTCAAGAAGACCTACAAAAAGTGCTCCAGGTTCACCAACGTTCTACACAGTTTGTTACTGACTTGAGGATCAGACACTACAGCATATTTCACCTGAAGATTAACCACCCTAACGTTACCTGGGGATTAGGTTAAGTGATATTAGCGTTAGCTTGGTTAATATTCGTTGTGAAATAACCTATAGTGTCTAATATTCATAGGAGTCTAAAAAAAATCTAATGGCAAAAACAAGGAAAAGATGAGTTGTATTGACCGTGTGTGGGCCCCGTGATCGTGGCTTTTAATACTATCAGAAGGACTTCACATTGGCCAGGGCAGGTATGATGGTCGCGTAAATATCTATACCACGCAGGAACACTTTCTCGTTGAGGTACTCGTTGTGGTCATGCAGAAGCCGAGGTGTGTTGTTCATTGGCGAGAACCCCAGGACATCTATACCAAGCTGTGGAGGAGAGAAAGAACACTTAATTAATACCTGTACTGATGCTTTCCTGGTGGTGTTATCACTGTTAGTTCACGAGGGAATAAGCTCACACAGGTTTGGTTTGGTTAAGTTATCAGATCGCAGTAATAACGCAACATTACACACAAAATAGAAAAAATGATTCCGGTCTTGGCTGTACCAATATAATAGTTCAACATGAAAACATTTTAAGTGTTAACCAGGTGATGTGGCCAGGACTACTGCTTACCTTCCTGACGTAATGGGAGTCTGTACCTGCCGGGAATATTCCTTTCTCAAGTTCAATATTTCTGTAAGTAGAATTTTCATATTAATTTTTATTCATTATGATATCTCACACACAAAATAGTTACCTTTTTATTAGATCTCTCATATATATATATATATATATATATATATATATATATATATATATATATATATATATATATATATATATATATATATATATATATGTGATAACCACAAGGAACACGAAGTTCCCAAGCGCTGTGTAATTCACATCTTCATGAGCACAGACTATACAAATCAAGGTGTATATATACACCTTGATTTGTATTTCTTTATGCACCTACAGTGATTTACTTGCATATATATATATATATATATATATATATATATATATATATATATATATATATATATATATATATATATATATATATATATATATATATATATATATATATATATATATATATATATATATATATATATATATATATATATATATATATATATATATATATATATATACACAAAATAAGTATTTACTTTTTATGATAAATTTATCCTGACAGTGAAAATGACTCGGGTAAGCACAACTGTCACTTAGAGACTGTATACAACACACTACACTAAACCCTTCGGTACACAATGAGGCAGTGTCGAAATTAGTTAACAGTTTACAGCAAAATTTTAATATTATATTGCAGTAATATTAACAGACCTGCTGTAAGTGTGTTTATTGGCAGTTATATTAACACACACACACACACACACACACACAACCGTGGTCATGGAGACACCGTGTGGTGGTGTCACAGTACCTCACTCTGCTAGGTTGTGTTGTGCTTTCTCGTAATAAAGGTGTAAAGCCGACCCACTGTTGTTCCCAGGGTGGACTGATTATCACCGCCTGGTCAGAAGATGGTGATCGGTTCCCAGGGGTGCTTATCTCACTGGTGGGTCACGGCTCTTGCTGGTACTGTCTAGTGCTGATTTCACTGGCTTAAACACTGCCCATCACCGTTCAACACTTC